ACAAAAACGCTTATTGCGCGAGAACTAATAAAGCGATTTCAAAGAAAAGTNTAATTGCATATTTCAGATTCCTCGCACCCGAAAACGCCCAAAGGCCTTTTGATGGTATAAATATTTTCATTTAAATCAATTTCAAATGTTTTAAATGCTGCTCTGCGACCACCAACTTCAAATTGATAAAAACGCTTGAAATCGCCAACCTGGAAAAACTGAGAAATTACTTCTCTATATTCAATCCAGATTTTCAGAAAGGCACGGTTACACCTATACCCCAGCCGACTACCGAACAAGTGTAAGGAATGCTTCCGGTTCTCAACTTACTTCTTCTTTGTTTAAGACCCTGTGTGGGCAATTTAGAAAATACTTAATTGCATTGCAGGTGTCAAAGGCAGTCTTAAGTGGCGTTCTTAAGACTCTTGATTTTTGGCTTCAGTCTAATTCGATGTTCCAAAAGCAATCAGTCCACCAGTTCGTCAAGCACATCTCTTGCAGAGGACGTTTAGAGCAGTTTCGCTTTCGCTGCAGACCCTCCAGACGCTAGCTAGCGCAACTTCCATTCTCTGTCTAGGTAGAGTCTTTACCGAGATCCCCAATAGAGTATCTGTATCTTTTTATTGGTCTGCGGTATAAAAGCTAACGATGGAATTTCTTCTAAAAGATGCCCCTGATATAAGTTGGCCATTTGGAGCTATAAAAAAAAGGGTATTTGTGCTTCAGGCTCTGGAGCTAAGATCGTCGTTCTGCAGTCGACCGATTGTTGACACGCAAACCGTGGGATTACCAATTTTTTTATGCACCATATTGAGCAGAATAACTTTTAATCGGTCTGACTATAGGCGTGTACCCAAAGTATCGACACTTTCCGAAAACGTTCAGTCTTTCATTTACCTACTCGATATACATATCATCGATGTTTTTGCAAATCCGCCCATCGACCAGTTGCAAAACCGCCTAAATCGCCATTGTGGCAAAAATGAGATTTGGTAACCCTGATCTCCAGGCATCGAGATTTATGCATAAAAATCGTTAAATCGTTATTAAAATAACAGATTTGTAAAATAATAGCTTGAGAAAACACTGCCTATCAAGGCAATGCCTTCAATGATTAAACCGTTTTTTCGCTCCTGTAAAATTTGAGTGCCGTAAGATAGGCGGTTTTGCAGTTGGACGATGGGCGGTTTTGCAAAAACATCGACGATATGTATGTTTATTAGTTTTCCACGTCAGGTACTTATCCAGAGTTACTATCGCGAAAAGACTAAGGTTAACCTACGTATATATGTATGTATTTGTGTATATGTATGTACATATGTATGCAGTGGCGGATTTAAATATTTGCCGCCCCTAGGCAATTCATAACTTGCCGCCCTTTTTTCACGAAAAAAAAAAAATATATATATATATCAAATATGATTGTTATTGTCAGTGCTTTATTACAATATAGTAAAACACGATGTATTCTGCACTGAAATGCTTTAGAGGTTTGGACAAGTAGAATCCAATTATCAGGACATTGAAGTAGCGCTATGCGAGTATACAAAATAAAATCGCTCATCCGGAAGATTTTTTGACCTCGCGCAAGACAAACAGAAGACCATACACAGATACACTGCCTAATTTGACATACGACGGAAGCTGACCTTCAGATTATTCACGTTATGATACACTTATGAAAAACTGGTGGGCTTGGAATCAAGAATTTTCTCGAAAATGCACGCTCGTTTTTCGGCAGTGTTGTCAAGTGTGGTAACCTTTTAGATGATTCTCGTTCTCGGGGCAGCGTGTCGGCTGTTTCTTTGCGTCACGCGCAGGCGCGCCGTCAGGTTTCTAAGCCGCGTGAATGAAAGTTAAATGGAAATTTCAACGACTGCTATACTAAGGAAAAATTCGCAGCGTAATTCTAATTTTGAATTGTATTGAATGAGATGAATCATTAATAATATTTTACAGACACAAACACAATTTCAAGTGCAGCTGATTCCAAATAAATTTTTTTCTTTTAATTTAGCTGTCTTAAATTTTGCCGCCCCTTAATTCTGCCGCCCTAGGCTTCAGCCTATGTTGCCTGTACGATAAATCCGCCACTGTATGTATGTATGCAGATAGATACAAATATATGTATGTACATATGTACATAAATATGAATATACTTTTCTGTATGCTTTCCGGGTTCGATGCGTGCATGCCAAAGTTGGTTGGCAGCTGATTGCATTTCTCTGTAACATGCAACCGATGCACACAAGGCAAAAACGACGATTCAGCTGGACAAAAATAATTAAGTGATAAAATTGATTTGTGGTGTGGGAAATTAATATTATATGATGCTTTAAAACTATCTAAGCGAAAATAACGGCATTAACAACAATATAAATTTACCGACCCCTGCGAAAAATGGTTTTATTCACTTTGATATGAAACATGATATTTACATGAAATAAATAATAGTAAGACAAAAACATTGTACAGGTAGACCTCGGACAACTCAGGGGCTTTGTCTTCTTCTTCTTTTTTGGCGCTGTAACCGCCTAAGCGATTTTGGCCGAGTTCAGCAAGGCACGCCAGTCGTTTCTCGGCTGTGCCAACTGACGCCAATTGGAAACGCCAAGTGAAGCCAAGTCCTTCTCCACCTGATCTCTCCATCGCAGTGGGGGCCTCCCTCTTCCTCTGCTACCACAGCGGGTTCCGAGTTGAATACTTTCAGAGCTGGAGCGTCGGTGTGAATTCGAACGACATGGCCAAGCCAGCGGAGCCGCTGTATTTTAATTCGCTGCACTATGTCCATATCGTTGTAAAGCTCATACAGCTCATCGTTCCATCGTCTGCGGTACTCGCCGTCGCCGACGCGTAAAGGCCCGTAAATCTTCCGCAAAATCTTTCTCTCAAACACTCCAAGAGCCGCCGCATCGGATGTTGTCATTGTCCACGCTTCTGCGCCATATACCAGCACGGGCATGATGATTGACTTATAGAGCGTGGTTTTCGTACGTCGAGAGAGGACTTTACTCCTGAATTGCCTACTCAGTCCAAAGTAGCACT